AAAGCCAGAGAGGGAGTGATGATGGCAAAGTTTAGTGCTAGTCAATGATTTCCTCGAGGGATCGACTCCGAGTCTCTGCGGTGTGAAATGAACCGTTTTCACTGAACCCGCTGCATTGGAAAATGTATATAAAGTAAATGTCATGGGCAATGGGAGGTGCTGACAGGTGGAGAGAAAGGACTAAACAAACTCCAGTGTTACTAAGTGAAAGACAGTGGAGGAGGCGCAGCGTGAGGGTTGGTCAGTGATGTCTGCGAGGAGTGTGTAGAGGCAAGTGTGTGAATGGAAAAAGCAAAGCTGAGCAAACATCAGCAAGAATCCCACCTCATGTAGGATCATAATGAGTTTTATATGTTAGTGTTATATTCCACGTATAATTGGTGTTGCTGTGCCAACACCTCAAACAACACCTCAAACAAAAACACCTACAGAAAATGGTCCATGATGTTAGAAAAAGCAGAGGTACAGGTTTTTACTTTATTATTCGGTATGGCGGAGATACTGTGTAGGTACCTGAGCGTCACTTGGTCTTTACCTAATGCGTACTTGTGGAATAGTCTTCCCCAATCACTCAGATTCATTGAATCTGTGGACTGTTTTAAGCGGCTCCTCAAAACCCACCTCTACAGGCAAGCCTTTTTATAGATCTCCTTGTTTGTTTTCTCATCTGTCGTCTCTCATTGAATTTATCCTTCCCTCTTGTTTTATCTTCCTTATGTTTGTATTTACATGCTCCCTATATATGTTTGATTGGGTATGGTTATACCCATATGTATATTTGTTGTTTGTAAAGCACTTTGGATCTCTGTGTCAAAAAGGTGCTTTATAAATAAAGCTTTACTTACTTACTTACTTACTTACTTTTTATGTTAAGAAACTGTATTCTACATTTAGACACCTTTTTTATAAAGGGTTTATAACTTGTAAGTAATAGTGTTGTTAATGATTAATAAAGAATGTATTAATGCTGTATAGTTTGGGTATTAGATTACGTTTGATTTGGGCTGCTAGGTTGTGAAAAATTGTCCTTTTTAATTGGTACTAATGGTGTTATTAATGTTGATTAATCAAATAAAAATGACTGGCCAACAATTGTTGCCAAAAAATTTATTAATGGTTTAAACCAAGCAATAATGCCCAAAATTTGCTTTTGTCTTCTAAAAGGTAAAAATCTGTTGTTTTTCTTCATCTTATACGTAAGTAAATGTATCTTTGGATTTGGTGGGCAAAAATATTATTTAAATTTCTAAATTTAACAAAATTTTTACTGTTTTCTGACATTTTGTAAAATTTTGTAAAAATTATCTGCAGCTCAGTCGGTTAATGAAAATAATCATTTGATGCAGCCCTAAAATGTTGGCAATCCTTTTACCTTTTAGTAAATAAGTTGGTTGGAAAGTGGTCATACAGATCATTCAGTCAAAAGGATTTTAGTCATCAGAAAAAGCTGCTCTTATCAGTGGCTTGTAACTGATCTATACAACTTTAACCATTAATAAAGCCACTAGCTACAATTCATAAACCCTTTATAAAGGGTTATATGTTATACAATAACTGAGCTTCATTGAGTCCTCAGAGATGACATGTGACTGTGTTTTTCCATTTTTACTCCTAAAATTGGTCATCGTTGTGAGAGAACACAATAATGATTTCCGTTTGACCGAACATTTCAAGTTCAGATTTGTAAAGATTTTTGTGATTCAACCACTGCCTTGTTTTCCAGTTCTCTTTTCCTCTAAGTGAGTTGAATGAGTTCATTCTTCAGAGATAGTTTTTTGTTTTTGCAGATCACCATATTGGAATGTGTGACCCTTTTGTGTAACAGCAGGGGTTACGGTCAACATCTAGTGGAAATATTATCTATAAATTCTAACAAACTTGAATGAATGACACCAACTCTGCTTTTAATCTTAATCTCTTTATAAATATAAAAAAAGTGCATCTGCTAAGAAATATTAGGTATTTTACAAAGACAGAAAAAATGGAATCAGTGTACATCTGTGATACTATTTGACTTTTTTCTGGTCTGCCACAGAGTGGAAACACAAGAGTGAGCCCCATCCAGTAGTTTCTTCTCTGGAGACATGAAGTGTTTCTCCGTTCTCAAATCTCTCCCCTCCACACTTTGCCCCCAGGCTGTCTTTTGTAACTAGCTAGAAATATGCCTTTGTGTAAAAAAAACGCCACAGAGACAGTAGCGCTGAGATCAGTGTCATGTCATCTTTGGCCTCCCTCCAGCTCCGCTCAGACCATCTTTTTGTCTCAGATAGGCAGACATCACACAGACAGTTGAGGCCTGTCACTCTAATGGTCTCTTGTTTTGGCAGGCATGTGGGCTTTTGGAAGATTTGACGCTGATATGTGTTACTATGCATGTCTTACTGAGGAATGTGCACGTCATGTTGGTGGTATTGAGTAAATTAAGACGACCATTTGTTATGTGTAGGGTTTTTTTTGCTAAGCTATGTATAGTACAAATTTTAATTGAAGACATATGCAGTAATAAACTGCTCCTGGTGTACTGTGAATCTTAAATATATCTTAAATTTACATGATTTCTAATTCCCCCACTGGTGTTCCAAATGGACTTAGGCAGGTACTCCACGTGGCGCCATCATTCAATCCCTGACTGCTTGCTTGCCATAGAAATGTTGTGGAACGGTTGTCAGTCACATGTAACATTCTGGGTCGGCTGGAGTTGTTTGTTTTGGCACTTTGAATATGTTTCCTTGGCATTGTTAGTGCAGCGTATTTTAACAAAGCATGAAACAAATAAGAGGAAAATGTTAGTTATTCACAGAGAGACACAGTTCTCATGCATTGTGTACGGCTCGCTCTGTACGCCTCCAACCATACATTTTTTTACTCTCAAAGTGTGTTGGGAGAGCAATCTCTGTCAAGACACAGCTTGCCAGGTTTCCATTTGAAAATTCATAGCTGTCAGACAAGTTAAGGAAAGGCAAACACGCTTTGTAAAAAGGAAACCATTTGACCCAATCTGAAAGAAAATCCTGATGCCTCCTTTTTGGATTTGACTGCTCAGATTTTTCAACCAGGCTGTGAATGCGCATTGTAAAGACAATACAGCATATGTGAACTATTAAGTCCATCGGTATGAAACCGAGGACTCGAGGGGAAACATTTCAGTCAGCTATTGGACTTAATAAAACAAATCTCTTGTTGAAGAACTACTGTGACCTTCTGCTAGAGGCTAAAGTGAATATGAGTGGTGACAGAATCTTCTCTGAAAAGCAGTAATGAAGTCAAAAATGGAGGTAATGTAGATCACCGATCAACACAACTGGTACATTAACTAAACCTATCTGGACATCCAGCAGGTGCTCTGCAGCTTTACAAAAATATTGTGGAATCATTTCTGTTACACTGCTTGACTAAATGCAGCTATGTGGCATGTTTCCCATTTTCTGTGGGTACTTTTCACAGAGAGTTGGCTGTATGTACACTTTTTACATGCAAGAAGGGATGCTGTAATATCTTAATACACAATTTGTTTCTTTAAATTGATCATATGCAGATTGGTTGTAAAAACTGACATAAAAAAAGATTTTAAAGGTTTTTAAAATATAATTTAAAATTTTCATTTAAAATTAAGTTCAATGAAACAAACCAAGCTATACTGTGATACTGTATATGTCTGTTCCAAACATTAATATCATAATTATTGGTGATATTGATTTCAAGTACATTATCCAGCCCTCATTTTAAACAAAAAAAATCCCATAGTAACTCTGTATCTGTTGAGTCATTTACTTGCAAAGCTGAGTGCTTTATTCCTTGTTTTTGCTCACTTTTTATAGTGATGAAAATTAATTCTACTGTGAAAGCAAAAAGGAGTCCTGCACTTTACCAGTGCAGCATTAGACGAGGTGTCAATCCATGCACAAAATTGTCCTTTAAATGTCCCAATTCCGTCTGCAAAGGCATGTTGGCCCAAAGACTTTTGTGAGTTCTGTAAATCCATTTATTCTTCAGTTTCACTTTAAGGGTGTAAAGGAGGCCAGAAATTCCACATAATGAACAACTACAGTGCCAATCCTGTCAGTTGGTGTGACCAAAATGGTCACAGGCTGACAGTCATGTCCCCTGTGTGTGTTTATGAAAGTAATGCTCTGCTTTCCCCATCACAACCTCAGAACGCTGGTTGTCGGTTTTGCCAGCTATGTGGCAGTCCCCGCTTTGTGTGTTTTATATACGCTTCCCTTAAATAAACTGACGAAAGGAGAGCAAGTCTACCACATGTTCTCCATACCATGTTTAGAACTGATACTTCTGCTTGTTATATTTCAAATGAATTGCAGCTTTAAGATCCTGAATACTGGACTTTTTGTTATGGGGATTCTATAACGAGAGTGTAAATCCTGCTGTGTGATCATGTTTAAATCTATACAACGCTGCTGTGAGTGACATTCACCCCCTCAGGATATGATATAAATATTAAACCAAGTATCCACTGGCTACTGTTTCACATGCATGTGGTATGACTTTCATGTTCACCACATGCCATTGTCTAAAATATGTCCCCATACCAGCTCAATGCTTTATTACTTATACAAACTGCTATATAATCTCAATTTGAAATTCTCAATAGGTGCTGTGGGTGCTGTGACGTGTGTGAGGTCTAAAACAGGGAAAAAACGGTGTTACTTCTTATGAAAAGAAAGAACTCTTCCACCTCTGCAGAGAATTTGCTCTATACACAGACACACCTGTGCTGGAGGTTGATCTCAATCTCCAGCAAATGTTGAATTCCCCTGAACATTAACCACTGAACAGCTGAATTCATTTGAACATTAACCAAACTTTTGAGCATTATATGCCCCAGCTGTGCTTCCTGTGCTGTTTATGTAGTATATCTTTGCAACTCTTATTGTTTATCCAGGAAGGTCAGCATCCTGCGCTTTATTAGAACCTTTATCAAGATGTATCCACTCCCTCTCTGTTTTAACTGACCTGAGTGTGTCTGTGATCTCTCCCTCTAGGTTGACAGGTAATGAACCGTTGTCTATCCTGCCTCTGAACTCTCTACCAGAGGAGAACGTGGGCAGGGCCCACTACAAGCTGTGTGACCGGCTCAAACTGGAAAAGAAGCAGCGCAGGATGTGCAGACGAGACCCGGGCGTGGCGGAGACCCTGAGAGAGGCCATCACCATGAGCGCCCTAGAATGCCAGTATCAGTTCCGCTTTGAGAGGTGGAACTGCACCTTAGAGGGGCGCCACCGAGCCAACATACTAAAGAGAGGTATGGGCTTTTCATTTCCTTTTGAACTCTAAAAACACACCTAGTATCTCTCCAATATTGCACACCGAGGAAGGCAACTGAAGCATATGCATTTTACTCCCCCATGCTTAAAATAGAAAATGGAAAATAAAACAACAGAAGCTCTGATAGATTTTGGTACACAGAACTCTTTTGAACTGTCTCTATTTTCTTGCCTTTCATTTGTCACTCTCCAATGTGCTTTTCCAGGATTTAAAGAGACAGCCTTCTTGTATGCCATCTCCTCGGCGGGCCTGACCCATGCAATGGCCAAAGCTTGCAGCGCAGGACGCATGGAGCGCTGCACATGTGACGAGGCCCCAGACCTGGAGAACCGCAAGGCGTGGCAGTGGGGAGGCTGCGGAGACAACCTCAAATACGCCAACAAGTTTGTCAAAGACTTCTTGGGCAAACGCTCCAACAAGGACCTGCGTGCACGTGTGGACATGCACAACACAAATGTGGGCATGAAGGTAAGTGTGCAGGATCAGATGATAAGATAAGATAAGATAAGATAAGATGATAATGTTTTTGTAATCACAGAGAATTATCAGCCAACCCTGTGGTTCCCCTCAGCTCAGGGAGCATTTTAGCTTCTTTTAACTCACAGTTTTGGTTTTCTGGGCCATAACTTTTACTGTTTATGTTTAGTGTCACTGCTCTCATCAGTGTCATTTCCAGGCTCGACAGGCAGCCGTTATCCATTAAAAAGCACTAAAAACCAACTGCATACTACCTGCTCAGCACCAAATGGCAGAGCTAGTGAACATAGTGGAGAATTTAGTGGCTAAAGACATCTATGTCTCTACAATTATTGCATACAGAAACAGAGCTAAAAGGAGAGTGAACATTGGACTTGATTCAAAATTAATGCTAATGTTGCACCAAGTGTGCTGGATTTATAAATAAGCATATGTTTGCTAACATGGTTGCCATCACATAAACCACTTTAGAAGGTGATAATGCCCCCAAGTGACCAAAAATTCAAATAATGTAGGTTCAACTAATCTCAGCTATGAAACTTTTTACAGAAAGCCTGTGTTACAGACTGTTGTCTGTTGTGGAGTTTGAACAATGTGGAAGGTTTCCAGGCAGATAGAGTTGCATTATGAGAAGTGTAGGATCCAGTGTTTTTCTCAACCTGTACTAGGGATGAAAAGTTTGAATATTTTGGCCTCAGTTTTGACTGTTTTTGATTTAATCTGTCTCTTGTAAGTCCCAAAACGTAATGGAAGTGCAATACGTAATTGTTGGAGTAGGCCTTTAAGGTCTCATTTAATTAACCATTCACTCCTTCAGTAATTATCATAGTTTGTCTGTGACTTTGACAGCAACAATATTTTATTAGCTGATAATTTGTCTAAAACATTACACTGTGGCTTAATCTAAGTTGTGGCAGATAATTATTCATGTACACCTCAATGATTTTAGAACATTTTTATTGAGTCATATCAACTACACAGTAATTTCATAGCAGTATATTTACCCAACTGTCATATTAATTTGCCTTTTATTAAAGTAGTAAATTCAACCGAGGCAACAAGTTTGAGTTATAATGCACACATGAGTCCAACCAGGACACACTCATCAAGAAAACAGTTTGAATGGGGTCAGAGTTCATTTGGAGTCACAGACAGTATTCAGTGCTCAATCAGTTAAACGTGGGAAAACTGTGATAATACAGTCTGAGTTTAGTGCAATTATGTAGACAAACAGCAACATGAAGTGCCAATTCATTGTGTGCCTTATCCCGGATATACTGTTCTACCATATCTTTGGTTTTGCTTTTGTAATGCTGGAGTTTAAACATTACAGTGCTAGTAAATGAATGCAGTCCAAGACAAAACACACTGTTCAAATAAATGGTTAAAGTGACCAAATAGGAATTTAATATGACCGCAAGAGAATGACATTGATTGAGTTATACATAAAGAATCCTGAGAGAGTGAAATTACTAAAAAAATAGAGTAGAGTTTCAAGAATCTTCAAGAAACCATGAAAAAAAGAAACCTAAACTGATTAAAGTAATTGCCACTGTAAATTTGGTGAAATCTGAAAGTGCTCATTAGTCAATATTTGATTTTCTCTCCCAGATTAGATAGGCAACCACTCTCATTTGTGCTCTGGCACAATTCAACAATTGTTTGTGGTGAGCAAATATGGGTTTTTCATCTTGGAAGTGTTTTTAATAGTAAAATAAAAAAGAGGGAATGGTCTTAATCTGTCAAGCCAAAGCAAACTAAATGTCTGGAATCTGTTGCTTTTACTCAGCTTTTCTCATATTGTAGCCATTTTCATTTTGGTTTCACAATGAATTATAGCAGAGGCACACTTCCCAAATGTTCGCAGACACAAAACTCTCCCAAAAGACCAATGCAGGCTCTTCCTTTTCAGCTTGGCTCTCCAAAATCTAATCTCTCGGGAGATCTTATTTGTGATAAAAGATTTACAACATTGTTTTTGCTCTTTTTTGTGATTTGCACATGTAGTGGGGTATACCGCACTCGTTCAGGATGAATTCCCACACAGAGGACGAAACTGGAATGTGCTAGCCTCTGCATCCCCCCGACGTTTAAAAGCTGACCTATCAAATTTTCTTGACCTGCTGGTGTGATGAATATGCACTTCCTGTTCCCCGATCTCTTTCACAGTCTGAGAAAAGAACTGTAGATGCTATCCAAACCCCATCTAACACAATGTGTTATTGTCATTGATTTTCGCACACACACTGCTTTTGACATTGTGGTTGATGCTGAAGTGAACTTTGGCTGACCGCAAAGATGTTAAGTACTGTTTAAATAACGTGTTGTGGTCGTTTTTGCTGATGATCTCTATGTTTCACTTGCAATTATGTATGATTTTCTATAAGTAAAGAGTTTCTTTACTATTCTTTCTCTTTCCAACTTATTATCTGTGTTATGACATAATTACCACACTAGACGATTGGGTTGATCAACTCTGGGTTTAGAAAACACATTTATAGTAAAAGGACAAGAATAGTGCTCGGAGTCTACATATTAAAGTCTCCTCTTTCCCACGGCTATGTGAATGGATTGTCTATTTGAGAGTACTACTCTTAGCAAAAACCTCCCCTCACTTATCATAATAACAGTTATTGAGTTTAATCAAAATGTCATCTGTGGTCATAACTAATCCATCCTCCCACCACCGGCAACCAATGTTCTTTTTGCTCTTTTATACCAAGGCTTAGACAAAGTGTTATATTGTTCACCTTCAGAATTATGTTGATGATAGTTCACATGCAATAATTGAAGCCTCTGTGTTTTCCCCTTTTATTATGATATCAAAAAGAGCAGCGACTGTAATAATCTTCCATTGTATCTTTACATTCCTCCCCAAACCACCGCACTCCACCCTAATCTTCAAATTGTGAGCATATTTGGGTAATTTGGCTCTTTGAAATGCTGCTTACAAAACACACGCTCATTAAATCACGTAGCTTTCATTATATTCCTTTAATGTTTCATTGCAGTTGACAGTATTTCGTTGTCTCTGAACCAGGTTATCAAGGCCGGAGTGGAGACCACTTGCAAATGCCACGGAGTCTCTGGCTCCTGCACCGTCCAGACCTGCTGGAGGCAGCTCTTGCCCTTCCACGAGATCGGCAAGCAGCTGAAGCAGCGTTACGAGACCTCCGTCAAGGTCGGAAGCTCCACCAACGAGGCCACGGGGGAGGCAGAGATCTCCACGGGCCGGAGCCAGCAGCCACAGCCGCAGCCCCTGCCTGGCCTGAACGATCAGATCCCTCGCACTATGGACTTGCTCCACATCGAGGACTCGCCCAGTTTCTGTAGACCCAGCAAGTACTCGTCGGGCACGGCAGCCCGCAAGTGCTACAAGGACAAGAACTGCGACGCTATCTGCTGCGGGCGAGGCCATAATACTCAAAGTAGGGAGGTGACCCGGCCCTGCCAGTGCCAGGTGCGCTGGTGCTGCTACGTCGAATGCAAGCAGTGCACACAAAGAGAAGAGGTCTATACCTGCAAAGGGTAAACCAATCACCTGTCAGCCCCTACGATCAGTGGAGCAAGTGAAAGATGGTTGCGTAGAAGAGGAGTGGTGGTTTTGTTCTCATACAAAGTTTTGCTTCCACTGTTGGAACAGTGTTCTGCAAACAAAAGAGGAGCGAGCCGATGGAGAAGCAATAAGCACTTTGAGGGATTTCTGTGGGCTGGCTTTCAGAGCTCCTGTGGCCCCCATGTCTGGGGTTTGCAGATGAAAAAAACCTTCTCAGACAACTGGGTCAACATCTCAAGCTTTTTTAAATCACAGTTTTGCCTTGAAGAGAGAAGCTTTTATTTTCCTATTAAAAAAATTCAATTGCATCTTTTCACAAGAAAAAACAGAGATAAGTGTCCAGTCGATGAGGCTCCAACACAAGGACGGTAACACAAACAGACTGGTTTCTGGGTCCTTGCCCAAAGAAGAATGGTGTGTATGTGTGTTTGTCAATCTTTACATGTGTATGTTTGTATGTGAGCACGTGATGGGGGGATAGTGAGGGGGAGGGGGGTTCGAATGACGACTTTTATGGCAATGAAATCCATATTCAGAGACTGCTAAAAAGAAAAAAAAAGACAGGGTGTAAGATTTACTCTACACGCACATATTTACACTCACACACATTGTGTGTTTGCATTTGTATGTAAATAAATTCAGTTATATTGTAATGATATTATACAAGCCACTTATCTAACTATGTTAAAACAAACCACTAACCACACAAATGTTTTGTTGTTTGTGTGCTCTCGCTCATTTTTCTTCTTGATTCATGTTGACAAGGCCCTTTGGAAAGCAGCACACTTGTGTCCGTCGTCTTGCTGTGGATAATTTATAATTCCTTTGGGACTACTCCTTCACAGGGAGAAAAAAAGATCTCATTTTTTTGTAATAATATAATATGAAGCTGTTAGTAAATGCATTAACAGGAAATAACTAAACCAGTCAGTTTAGGCTATTCTCGGCCTTGAGCGAACCAGTGTTCAGGGAATAACTTAAACCACTATAACTATTTGGATAAAATAGGAGAGATATTGTGCAAATACAAATAATATCCTAGTTGGAGGTGACAGTGGCCTTGTTATTACAGCTGACACCATTGCAACAGGTGATCACTTACCAGTGGTCCACGTGTGACTCGGATCAGAAATTGTGGAGCTCTGCGGAGCTTACTTTTTATTTTTCTTTTTGTTTAACTTTTAATACTTTGAAGTTGTAAAGAAAACTGTGGAGAACTGGAGGAATGTAGCCCCCTACCATTTCACATCCTTCTTTACTCTTCAGCTGCCACGATTTGATTGAGCCATATTCAACACATGTAGACATGCAGCATGTACAGTGGGACCTGCGTCAGTCAGTCCAAACCGTATGGGGCAACTGAGACGGTAATCTAACTTGACGTGTCTGCAGAGTTGCTCAAGTGAAGATGAATGCATAAGTCTCATAGCTAATATAAATATATTTTATAAGACTAATATTTGTGTAATGTTCGGCAAATTGTTGTCTAAATGGAGACGTTGGGGTTTTGCAAATCAGCTGTCTTTATTCAAAAGTCAGTGAAGTTGTTATAACTCGAGTTAATTTGCTTTTTTATATTGTCATTGTGGCACAAAGTGCCACAGTTAACACAATGCAGCATACTGAACCCTGCCATGCATCTACAGTAACAGTTTAAAGGAACAGTTTGACGTTTTGGGGAAACGCTCTTATTCATTTTCTTGCCTAGAATTACATGATTGTACCACTCTCATGTTTGTCTGAAAAATATAAGGCTAGCAGCCAGTTAGCTGAGTTTAGGATGAAGACTGGAAACAGGGAGAAACAGCAAGACTTGCTCAATCCAATGGTAGCACCTCTAAAGCTCACAAGTTAGCATTTTTATATCTTGTGTCGTCTTGTCTCTTGCTGTTTTTACCCTACAGCTTTTGTACAGGTTAAACAAACCAGATATAAAGCGTTAATAAGTGAGCTTTAGAGATGCTGGTAGATGGATTTTGTTACCTTCGGACAAAGCCAGACTAGCTGTTTCATACTATTTATGTCCTCATCTAAACTCTTGGATAGAAAGTGAATATATTTCCCCAAATATTAAACTATTGCTTTAAGACATGAAGTCAAAGGTTTAATTTTTATGAGAAATGCCTCTGTACACACAGACAATGCAGATAATAATATTTCATTGTATTCTCAGCACTCTCAGAACATTATGTTATATACTATAAGATATGCCTTGTTTTAGATGGGTGTGAATTAACTACTGAGTGAGGGACCCAGCTTTGTATTATAGCGCCATTCACGCACTGAAGCCCCAAAGCCCTTTAAAGTATTTTAAGATCTGTATTTATGGATACAGTGCAGTGCAGAATCTTTTTTTTTTCCTTCCTTAAAAAAAAAAATGTAAATAGCAAAGGTTTCTACTCCTGTGGTATAGAAACTAAAGTGAGGCACATGTTCAACTCTCACAAGCAAATGAAACAGAAATTGGTGGCAAAAAGACATGTTAGGGTGAGACGTTTGTGGAAACAGCACGCAGCTGCCGTAACAAGACGATTACAGATTGTAATCAGTGACACAGCACCATGCCAAACATCCTTAAACATTTTTTTTTTATCTTTGACAGACTTAGAGTATTATTAATATTCAAAATCAAATCACCTAGCAATATCATGCTTTAGGAAGCGTGCCTTGCATGGGTTATTTGTCCTGAGGGGATGAATTCCAAGCATTTTGATATGAGAAGGCATGCCAAATAAAGACTGGTCAAAACATATACATAGAACTTTGCACGCTACATGGAAACCATAATAGCTATGCTGAGACTCGAAGCATAAATGCCTGCTTCCCACAGCTTTCGGTGTGTGCGCTCTCCACACACAATCTCCCTGGCCCAAACACACTGAGGTTCTCTACAATTGAACAGATTCAAAACAGGCATGGCAGGAATACCAAATGCCCACCAAGTGCATTTTTTATTTGTTTATACATTGTACATAGGCCTAAAATTTTCTCCCGAGAGTGAGGAGCATGATGCAGCAGCCAGACAGTTTTTAGATGTCACAGTCGTCCATATTCTCAAATCCAAAACTCTGCACTGTTTAGTCGTCAGTGGATCATGTACAAAATTCTGTTTTGTAGAAAAAAATAAAAGATAAATTATTTTTAAATATATTATGAGCATGTGTTTAGTGTAAATAAAGTCAAAGTCTAAATTGATTTTATATCCTGTATTTTTTACTCTGTTTTTCTTTTGGGTGTTTGTTCCTTTTTGGGGTGGAGGCTTCAAGAAGCAGTGTATACTTTAAACATATTTCATATCTCATCATTTTCTGTTATCTAAGCACTAACAAATCCTAACAAATTTAGAATCAACTCACCTTTAGCTGTCTTTTATTCATGCGCACGATCATCATGACACATCTTTGAGAGTATTCAAACAAAATCACAGTCATCATCATAATTGTTTTATAGGATTTGATCTGTTTGTATAATCGACTTTTGTGAAAAGACTTTGTAATGTTGGTTATCACCATATGATGCAGTATAAACCCCTGATTGCATCAGTGTGGACTAGTTTATACTCACCTTTGGATCACTTTACATGTGCATGTACTTTTTGTTAGGATTTGTGCTGTGCTTGTAAAAGGTAAAACACACCAACCATGTATTGCCCTTTGTGATGATACTACACCAACAAAGCTTTGTCCATGTTCACTTATTCATGTCTTATGGGAACCCTAAATTATTTTCCTCTACCTCATGTGTATAGCTTGTAGGTATAAACAGATCACAAATGACTGGTAAGAATGTATTTAAGTTATTTAACATCTTTGTATAACAAAGGCGAAAAAAATCTGAAATAATAAATGAATTTTTAAATTACTTCGTGTGTGGTTTCATTCTTTAGTGGGACTGTGAGCGTTTAGTTTTAGTCCCCTAACTTGTAGAAATTCTATATGATATGATAATCCTGAAATAATAGTCTTTTATCAATGATTTGAAATGGTGTGAAATAGCATACTGATGTGTAGTGCCTCATCAAGCTGACTGTTGTTATTTATCAAACTGCATCCCACGAATTATATTTTTAATAATGTAATACCATTAGGCTTTGGACACGATAAATTAAACAATACAAATATACATTTGAATGTTGTCTTTGGCTCCAAGTAATGTGATGAGCATTTTTCATGACAGTTTATAGACTAAATTATCAATAATTGTCCAGTTGCAGCTCACAATGAAACAGCTCTCGCCACAACTCTCAGGTTTTAGCTGTCAGCTAAATGCCATCCAAACAGCCTTTGCATTGGCTGCAAAAACAAGTAGCATGCAGCTGAACATAATAAGTTGTCACCTCATTGCAGGTCACCCACTGTGTTGAGAAAACCAGCGTAGATCAAACTTAAAGTGTGGATCTTAATAGTTGACAAACTCAAGCTCCACTATGACTTGTTTTGGAGTTTTCAATTGTGACATGGTCCTCACTAGCAATTTATTTTTTCCAGTTGCCATGGAAGCATACATGTTATTTCCTACATTCTGAGTACTTCTGGAACCTCTCATTCATACTGACTTGTGTGAATGAGAGTGATATATATAAATGAAAACTCCAGAACAAGCAGGTAAGGGGACCTTGAGTTGTGATGGTGCAGAAAATAAACATAAATAACCTTTGTGCACTGGTTATCATTCATACATTTTCCATCTCCAACTCAAAAGAAGTCAGCAAGGGATAAAAAAAACCCTCCAAACAAAGTTGCTACAGCAGCAAGTGGGGTGGGAAAGTAATGGGAAGTGACCAGAAGGTCTCCTGTTCAATTCCCTGGACTGGCTGGGGAAATGTCTGAGGCCCACCTTCTGATAGCAGAATAGTGACTGGAGCAAGAAAGCCGTCCTTCTCTGTAATCAGACGTCATTGTTGAGGTTAAATGTTTATGGGAATCTGATACAGACGTTGTTGGATTTTCACAGTTTCATGCAGGATCACCCTCACTTTGCTATGACATTTTATACTGATTTAGTGTAAACTGATTATCAAGGCCTCTGTCATATTACACTGCACAATACCATGGGAATGATGTTTTTACTTCAATGTCAAACAATGTTACTATGAAACTCATTAGTGCAAGATATAAACATTTCTGTTTTGGGTTTACTGCATTTGGACATACGTATGTGCCGGAGAGTAACACTGTTAAACCGATATTATTTCAACAAGTTCTATTCCCTCAGCAGATGAGCCGAGATATCAGGGAGTTTTCTCTCTCAACAAACTTGCAAATATCTCGGCCTCATCATACAAGCCCTGAAGCTTGACTAATCCGAGAGAAAAGGGGATTTGTGATCCCAGGCTGTGAATAGGAACTTCACGTCCGGTTGCGAAAACAATACACAATTACGGAGTGTATCTGTTCTAATACCTAAAACATCAGTGGAAAAGCCCATGATATCCCTGACACGTGTACCTAAATTAGCAGTGCAGGAGCTGCACCCTCCTGGTGTTAGCTATTCCTCCCCTGGGTCCTAGCTGCTTTTCTCTGAGAAACTGAGAGGCTTTAATGTACCCTGCTTGCTGGACTCCTCCTAGCTTCCTGCCCTCTACCAGGCTCTAATATGAGCTGTAACTTTGCGGTGCACTGTAATCCGACAATGTTTTGACAGCTGTTACCATGAAGGAAGTGGGTGCAACTAAAGCACATAGTGAAAAAAAGGTAAAAAAAAAAAAAAAAAAAATCAAGCAAACTTCAACCCCCCACCTCCTCCGGACTACCTTCCATTCCCACTCTTATCCTCCTCGTCTGCTCAGACATGCTGCTAAGCAGACAGAGTGAAGAGTGAGATAGTTCTTGAACTGCTGAAAGTGGCAGAGAATTTGTTATTCCAGCATCATCCCGTTGCATAGGATGTACATGTGCTGCCATGTGGAGGATTTGCTGAGTGTTGATAATGGTCTATGTGTTGGATCATATAACTGGATGCAGACTTCATGACATGAAATGCATAGCCAATCATACAGCGCCAGTAAACTAGTGGCAAAAAAAACGGAACTGTCCCTTAAAGGAATAGCCTAACATTTGGGGAAATACACTTATTTGCTTAGATGAAAAGATCGATGCCACTTCCAGGTTACAACAGCAAGTAGGTAGCTTAGCTTTGCCACAATGACTGGAAACAGGAGGAAAGCAGCTAGCCCGGTAACCTCAACAGCGGCAACAAAACAGGACTTTTAATTTATTTTCCCTTTAAAAAGTTACATTCCCTCACTTTAATCCTTGATACTTGAAATTTGGCTGATGTTTCAACAAAAATGTAAGACTAGTGGGCAATTAATGAGAATCCAAGCATTAGCTGCTCAAAGACAGACATTGGGTGAAACATATGTGCTGAGCACTATGAAAACACCTTAGCTCATGCCGCAGGTCTGTGGAACTCACAGATTTATGATTTTTTTTTTCACCGCGTTGGGAAAAAGCGAGTTCCTCTCTGGAAAGTGTGATAGGGGTCTGAAGGGTATGTGCCTTCCTCGCCTCCTTCCTGCGCCCTGCCCAATAGCTTACCCTGTTTATAACTGTTTTTGATTGTTGTTAAGTACCTGTCAAAGCTCCCGCTTGTCCCTCATGCCTGGAAAAACATGTGAGCTCAGCATCTCTCTAAACAGAAGCAAATCAAGAAAATGCAGTGCATTAAGGAAAAATACTTAGCTTACTGTATATATCTGGTGGTGAGAATCTGCTCTTCAAACAAGGATAACTTTGTTTGAATCAGCATGCTGACTGTCAGTCAAGTTGAGTAAAAAGGTTTATAGAGCTGTTAGTGACACAGAGACACTTTTCATTTATATGCTCCTTGGGTAACAGCAATATTAACTCAATAATCACTTCAGTTAAGATTACAAGACAGGCTGCTCAAATCATGAACACCAGGAAGAGCATTCAAGAGTAATACATCTTGAATATGTCTTGTGATACATGCACTGTAAAAACTATCAGAGTTTTTTTTTCTTACTGGAAGTGAGCTGCTCCATACTGGAGGTCTCTGTAGCTTTTTTCCCCCCTCGACTAGGGAGACAGCTCATTGACCATGTTCGGGGCCTCCTCACAAGATGCGATGGATAATGATGATAACTGGCTCAGGAGGTTTTCAACACTTGCTCACAATCATAAAAATGTCAGCTTCGCATGACAAAGCTCATTTTTCAAATACCCCTCCTTCTGTTATACTACACTGCACTCCTAAGCAAGTCCAAATGAATAATTCAATACAGCCCATAAATTGTACAAAATCTGAGTGGACCTGAGTCGACATTCTCCTTCTGGAAAAATAGAATAATAAACAAACAAATTATTCTATAAATAATAATGGAGCATGTGTTTCTTTCATTGGCAAACATATTTGGAGAGGGGGGAAAGCCCCAGAGACCCCATAGCGGGGTTTCTAGGGGGATGGGATAAACATAGATCTGTGCAGACGCCTGCGTTTTTTGGCAAGCTTGCTGCACTTGCAATTGCACCAAGAGAAGAGTGCTAGCCAGGAGAGGTGCAGGGTTAGAAACATTTTATTTTTGAGGAAATTCCTCCTATTACTCCATTATTCATCAGAATCTCTGAGGAGAGGGATGCTCTAACTGCTCTAGCAGAGACCGTTCGGAGGAAAACAGTTCATCGTGGTAGATATCCTAGACAAAAGAGTGTTCTGATGTATCACCAGTAGGATGTATGCAATGGACATATACTCCTCAGTCCATCAATTTACCTGGACAATAAGTACTTTGGAGATCACTGAATGGATATTCAATACCATAACTACAAAGCTTTAACTGTCAGAGTAGAACAGTCATTTACAATTCAGAAAGAGAAATTTGCTTCAACCAGGTCACCACCTGTTTTGTGCATCATGCATGTATGAAATATTAACTACTGGGACAAATTGTGAGTTTTGTTTTCTCCCAAAATTGTTGTTATATAAGCACATAAGGGAAAGTTGTTCAACTGTGAATCGAGGAGGACCTGGAAGTTTCTATCAGCAGCTGCGCTGACCTACGACCACTCATTTGTGTCTGCGTGTGGGGTGATGGTGGGGAAATAAGTTGTAGCTGTAGTGACTGCGTGTGTGTGTGTGTGTTGGTGGGAGGGGGGTTACAATGGCAGGCTGATGAAAGCAAGGGGGTTTACAGAGATGGGCCATGAAGCTGCTGTCCAACTCATGCTTCAATTGTGCAGTAAAGATTCCCCAGCTGTCCTACGGATTAGCCTGTGTGCTTATGTGATTAGGATACATGGCACCGCGGCTGTAGACCAGGCGCCTCTGACCCGGAGAATGTAGAATGAGATGAGATGGGAGGAAAAAGGATGGACGGGTGATGCTGTGCCACAAACACTGAGCACCCAACATAAACCTAGGTTAGTCCATGAGAGGGGCATTAAGCCTTTTGCTTATTGTAGGTATCAAATGCAGTAAAATGCTTTTTGACATAACCAGATAAAAATCTCAAAAACAGGATTTTGCTGTTACCAATATTTATTCCTAAAACTGGATTTAAACCTGTGTCAGTGTTTGGTGGCCAGGCTGGCCATGCATTGATAGCACCACTACAACACAAAATGCATATGTTGAGATGATACAACATCAGGTCAGGCTTATGTACACCTAAGGTACTGTGTCTTCATTCTTTCAGCCATATTGTGAGATAAAATGCTGGGGTTTTCCACAGGAGACTATTGCCTTGCATTTGTTAAGAAAAGAAGAAAACTACTGAGCCTTTTTTCAACGTACTTCATGTTTTCTTCTCCATTAACAATCATGCAGGAAGAGACCCGTAACGCTTTATTTTACAAGTCTGAAATTTCCTAATAAGAAGTTTGGAAAGAACTATGTAATTC